TTTAGCCGTATGTCTTAATTACAAGATTGGGCAAAACCGGTTTATAAAATTGCTTGGTATCACTGTTGCTAAAACCCAGTTTCTTGTTTTTTCCATGTTTGTTAAACCACATATTTTTTTGGATGATATGTCTGGTGTCTACCTCCACAATGCATTTTGGGAGGGGAGGGGATAAGAAAGAGGGAAAGCCTAACTTAAAATAGTTTGTTCTTTTCTAGGTAGAAGGCTGTGGAAAAAATAAATCATTTTGCCTTCAAAAAAAAAAAAAAATCCAGCAACTTTTTCTTTAAGGTGCTCTGATGCCCCGTTGTGTGGAGCCGAAACTTACAGCAACAGAAAGATTTATGCGTCAGGGATGTGGTGTTTGCAACTCAAAGAAATGTCACTCCAAAGCTCTTGCTGTTTGCACATGTGAGTAAAGACTTTAAGATCAAACTCCAGGTGGTTCTGTAATGAGGGACCACACGTGAATTCCCCTTAGCTTCTCACAGCAGTACCCCACACTGCTCGAGTTGCAGGTGGGCTCGCCTTTCCCTTCACGTGAGCTGCTGGCTGTGTGACGCAGGAGCCCCTGCATAAGCCCATGGTGCTTCCCTGTCTCCTGGCTGGAGCTGGAGAGGTCACCCCATGCTTTGGCTTGTCCGTGTTGCTTTCTGCGAACAACGTGCTTGCATGCTATCCAAGAAATGGCTTCTGAGTGACTTGAAACCACCAGAAGTCAGATCAAATACTTGCACCTGGAAAATATTTCAGGGTGAACACAAGTGGAAGTGGCAATTTCCTCTGTTGCCCAGTGGCGCAGGGGAGGGGATGCGTACAGAATGTGGTTGGCACTATTTAATTTCTGTCTCTGCTACAGAAAGCTAGGCAAGGACAGGGACAAACCTATATTTCCTTTACCCTTTACCTGGTGAAGTAAGGAAATCTCTGAGCTATGCCAAAGAACAAAGTATGCAGGAGGAGTTTCTCAGTCTCCGACCTGTGGCACTTAAATAAATAATTACGTATTTTCTGGGTAGGAGAGAAAGCACCAAGGAACTAAGTTTAATCACAGAATAGCAATTAGGAATCTTACTGAGGTTAATCCAATTAAATATTTCTAAATAGAGTAGGGGAGGATCAGCATGCAAAGTTGCAAGCAGCTTACCCAGGATTATACCATCTGGTGATATTAGCTGTGGAAGAAGAGCCCAGGTCTCCTCATGTGCCAAAAAGAATAACCAAAAATTAAAAGACATGAAGCTGTAGTTCTGCTCCTTTGTTTTTCACTTTGTGCCATTTGTTTTTATTTTGTCAATATTGTAAATATAAATGGAGGTTTTTATAATGAGTAAAATGCAGGAAAATATAACTTTTCAGGTAAATATAAATTTTCATGTTAATAACAGGAACAGAAATATCATCATTTTCCTCTGGATCAAGCCACATTTTATTGATTTTTTTTTTCCATTGATCTTCCACCAGACCAAACCAGCTTTACACAGAGCTCAAGTACACTAATGTCCTACAAGTGTGACAGAGCACATGCTATCTCCTCGCAGGTCCCACATCGTCCACGGTGTGATCCAGCTCAGACCAGTAGGGCAAGGCTGGACCTCCTACAGTTGCTGCCCCCCCACTAGTCCAAATGCAGGTAGGAGGAAATGTAAGAGGCAAGGGAGCTCCTCTCTCTCCTGCTTTTAGTGGCTTTCATCCTGATAGCATGAAGAAGAGGGAAATACCTGTCTGTGGCTCAGGAAGGGCCTGGTGTTGTTAGAGCAGTAGATGAGAGTTGGTGGTGATTGCTGGTGTCTGAAGTTGAAAACTGAATTTCAGAGCTGGCGAAAGTGAACTGGGGACACTGGATGGTTTCTGTGGAAGATGGGGAATCTGAAGCTGAAAAGCTGTGTACGGGAAGAGACGCGGTGAAGCAATTCACTAATTAGTGGTACTAGAACAGAATTGAGTTCTGGGGAAATTGGTGATGGAAAGAGAGTCAACTCATACTAGGAGCTAAAACATGGGATAAGAAAAGGAAGCAACTAGAGAAGAAAAGATCAAGTAAAGCAAGAGACTTAGTGGGACAGTGACAGGAGGAGTCCAGGAAAGAGACTAAGATGAGGAAAACAGGGAAGGTGAAGGTTATCATCTAAATGGCTAATAATATGAATAATGAAGAGATGAAGACTGAGCCAGAAGGGCTAGAAAAGAGGACTGGAACTTGGTAAAGCAAAGAGATTGGAGCTCAGTGGAATAGCTTGAGGAACACAGACTGAAAGTTTAAGACAACAAGATCGGAGGGATGAGAAAGAAATCGGTGGAACTTGAATGGGAAGAAAGGAGGAATGAGAAGGAGAAAATGGAAGGGAGTGGACAGAAATGTGTGTGCTTGAGTGTGGACTGGTGTTCAAGCCCCATTCCTACATCATCTGTGATGCCAGCTGGCCCATGACATGTCTGATGGAGGCAGGTGGTCTGGTCCACTAACCTAAGGGACAGAGATCTGTGAAGAGGGTTGATGGTTGCAGTCCTGTAAATGAACCATCTGGAGCAGAGGGGGCAATTAATATGATCCTACAGGATGGAATTATTTTCCTTCTCTGCCTCCAGTGTGTCACATCGCTCTCCCCAGGATTAGAAAACACTCAAGTCACAAAGCATGATCCCTGAGAGTGTTTGTCTCCTCCACTGTGTGTAAAACATTTGCCCAGGGGAGTCAGGGATGTGTGGCAGAGATAGCAGGATACAGAGATAACCCCCTGTTCCCCTAGGACTCTCTCTCGTGCTCACTGTGTCACTCGGAAAGCGCGTGCCGGAGGCGCAGTGAGAGCAAACACAGCCTCGTGTTAGCAGTGACTGCATGCTGGCCTGGGAAACTGTACCTCATCCTCTTCTTTGCCACAAAATTTCTGTGCGGTGCCGGGCAAGTTTTTGAAATCTACCTTGTCAGAGGTGGTGACTGACTGGGTGTTCCTTGTATTACGCATGTGTGGGTGGAGAGCTCGGGTCCGACATGAAGCAGCGCTGAGTTCCCACAGCTGTAGCTGAGGCGATGCGTACTGTGCTTTTAAGACAGAAAGTGTAGTACCAAATAATCTGAGAAACCAGGTCCTAGGGAATACACAGAAGTAATGGAAACTTTTGACCTTAATCGCTTTGTGCTTCAGTTCCCTATGTGTAAAATGTGGATTGTCCCACCCCCTCACGTCGCAGGACTTACGAACAAAGATTAGCTAATGTGTAGAAATACTCAGATGCTTTGGCAATGAGGCCAGATCAAGAGTCTCTGAGTAATTCTATTTTCAGAGACGATTTTGAGTAGTAGGTAAAGTGTGATGCTAGGCGCTGAGCAAAGGAGAGGACACGAAAGACCAACTAGCTGCTCACCAAATGACTAGCCAGCATGCAGAGATGGCAACAGGTTGGAAAAAGTTATTATGAGAACATGAAAGGACTTTGTTCTAAGGCACAGAGCAAAGGTGACAAGTTCTGGGATTTCCTACCTTGAGTGTTAGGTTCGTAAATGTCTGATGTACATTTTTGGGTATGACATAAACTTGTGTTAGCAAGCATGGGTGACATGGACATTTCTCTGATTGCAGTGCAAAAGGAGTGAGGCTTGCTTCGTAACATATTATTGTGTTGCTGAATAATAATGTTATTAATGCAGTAATTTTAATTTCATGGCTTTAATGGTCGTATTAAAGTTTCATAGCAAGATTTCAGAAAAATTGTGAGCATCATAACTATTTTACAGAACTATCAAGATTTAAAATAAACATTGAGTAGTGGGGATAAACTACAGATCCCTCATCTTCCACTTTCTCATAAAGAGCAAACAAGATATGCATTTTTGTTCCAGTCACACTGGGTTAGAAACACTGCCTAAATAAACACAGGTCTTCATCTTACCTTGGAGTCTGGTGGTTGCATTGCTGTTTAACATAATGAGGGGCAGGTCTGGGATGAATAATGAACACCAGGCATGGTAGAGGAGAAATCCAGGCCTGATGCTGAGGGAAGTCTTTACGAATCTGTATTTTACAGAAATCTGTGGAGTTTGTATGGGTCTGACTTGATGTAATCTAAAGAATTTATGGTGTCAATATGACAGCTCCAAGTCAGGGACACAGCTTAGGGGTCTAGCTTTGGAATGAAAGAAAATTTCCTAGAATTGACGTTTACCTGTGCCTTAATGAGCAAAGGGGTACTCCTTTCCATTGCACTGAGAGTATGTGGAATCCCCTCTCATAAGTGATAATGAAACTGTAAGTGATACTTCTAAAATCACACACTGGGTGGTTTGTTTTTTAAAAATTTCTGTGAGTCACAGGAATCTGTGAGGCCAGTTGGGAGCAGGGGGAGTAAAAGAAACCCTCTGCATATGTGGGTCGCTAATTATCAAAAAGTCAGTGGAGAAAAAATAAAAGCCCCGAACTAAGTATAGGTCTGTAATCCAGTCACTCTTTTGGGTATAAAACCATATAATTTCTGAAGGAAAAAGAATGCAGAGCTTTGAATGAATTCTGGTTCCTTCTCAACTGTGGAAATAAGACTGTAGTAAAATTTGTTCTAAATTTCATTGGTCTGGTGATTCAGAGCAATGAGATTGCTATCATGTGGAACATTCATCAGTAAAACAATATACATAACTTACCTGGTGGCTTTCTTCAACGGGGACTTCTCTTGGTCTCAGGCATGAGCTTCTCTTTAACATACTCTGTTTCCAGAGCAGAGAGGACAATGTTTTACCTCCCTTCTTGAAAACTTTATTTATATTTATATATTTGTTATATTTTAACATATTATATATTTAGCAATGTGGCTTCAAACTAAGCCTGGATCTTTCTTTAACTACACTGTGGAATTAATACATAAAAGGGTAATACAAAAGTATCTCCAGCCTTTCTAGTGCAAAACCAAGAAAGCAGAGTCATTAAATAAAGCAATTTTGCTGACTCTTGCCTTCTCTTTCGATGTAGTTCTAATGACATGTGTTTTTTCTTCGCTTGCAATCACAGCAGGTATGTTCTCTGGTTCTCTGCTGTATTTGCTGTGGTGGTGTAGCAGCTTTTGTTCACAAGCACTGCCAATCAGGATTGGGACCTGTGGCATGGAGGAGGCAACAGGTAAGACCATCTCCTGAGCTGGGCAAGAAAGTGAGAAGCCTGAGAATGTTGAGATGTTGAAAAGTAGAAACAGTAATACAGGTCAAGAAGAATTGTTACCTTTAAGTTCTAAGTTCATCTCAAGCTGTTAAAGACCCCATTAAAGAGGTTTTGCTGCAGACATGCTGCAGCTTATCTGGTTGAACTTCTGGAAAATGATCTTTCTGGAATACCTATATTCTTCTCCTACAATAAGCTTTTTTTTTATTTTGTTTTGTTTATTTATTTATTTATTTATTGGGAAGGATTCACCAGCAAGATTGCTGATTGTAATTCTTTGTGGTGTTGTCTCCAGTCCAGTCCATTTAAACATCTGGATTATTATCTGGAAGAATGTATCTGTTTTCATAGTAGTCCAATACATGCAAATGCACAAACTCGTGTCCTATTTTTTTAAAGAATAGTGAAAAAATTAAGAGACAGTTTGGTGTAGGTGGAGTTCATATCATACTGAGTAGTGGATATACATGTAGTTGGAAAAATTAGACAAAAATTTGGGTGCAGTTTGAAAAAGAAGATCCAGATACTGGGTGCTAATAGTAAAAAAAAGGCAAATAAAACCCAGAGACTGGAAGGCAAAGTTATAGTTAGGTTATGGATATTCACTGTTGGAATAAATACAAGGTGGAGCCAGAATCTCTTGATACCTTCAAATCAAAACAGGACACCTCCCTGGATGATAAGCATAAGCTAAACACCCCTGAACATATCTAACTGTTCAGTCCAGGGATGGCCAGGAGATGTTAACACTGTGATATGAAAATGATCTGATGGCTCATCTTGGCCTGTGACTTTGAGACTCGAGGCTCACTTTGTTTAAGAACACAGAACACAGAACACAGGTTCTTTGTTTAAGAACACAGAAACCTCCTGCTGCTTAGATAAACTGGTCACAAACCTATGCATAGACCATCTTTTTGTGTAAGAAAGGCTAGAAGAGATTTTCAGAAGTGTCTAAATGATTTGGAAGTCCAAGTCCCAACTTCAGAAGTGGCCTTTGCTTCATCTGTGCTGAAGAGTCAATGGTGCATTGCTAATATGAGCCAGCAATGTGCCCTCATGGCAGAGTCCAGAGGCCAGTGTTAGGGTAGGTGTTTCCCCTAGGTCAAGAGAGGTGATCCTTCCCCTCTGCTCAGCAGTTCTGAGACATACCTGGAGTGCCGGGTCCAGTGCTAGGCTCTCTGGTACAAGTGAGTCAGGGACTGGCTTGAGCAAGACCAACAGAAGGCCATAAATAATGGATTGGAGCACCTGATAGATGAGGAGACAGAGAGAGATCTGGGACTGCTGAGCCTGGAGAAGGGAGAGTTCTCAGGGGATTTCATAGGTGTGTACAAATACCCAGCTGGGAGGGAGCAAAGAAGAGGGAGACAGACTCTGCTCAGTGGTGCCCAGTGACAGGACAAGAGGCAATGGGCAGAAGCTGAAATAAAGGAAATTCCTCTTAAACATAAGAAAAAAAGAACAAACAACGTTTTTACTATGAGGATGATCAAATGCAGGAAGACGTTGCCCAGAGAGGTTTGAGCACCTCCATCCTTGGAGACACTCAAAACCTGACCGGACACAGTGCTGAGCTCCCTGCTGAAGCTGGCCCTTCTCTGAAGTGAGGCTCGGACTAGGTGATTTCCTGAGGTGCCTTCCTACCTCAGTGGCTCTGGGACTCTGTGAACATGGTAAAGGGGCAAATTCAGCCAGTATATTACAGTCTGACAGTTCCTTTGCTTGAATTAACCTTGGTTTACAATAATCACACACACAAATATCACTCTCCATATTGGTATTGCTATCTCACTGTCAGAGAAGTATATTGTTTTATACTGAAACACTGCTGGTATTTATGGGGCAGTGTGTTTGTATGAATACATAAACAAACACAAAGATATAAATATATACAAAATACTGTTTCATACTAATGTACCTCGCTTCAACTCAACAGCTGACAATGAGTAAAAAGTATTTACTACAGCTACATACCAGAACTTTGACCAGCACAACTATGTTGTCAGAAAATCACCTCTGTCATCAGCATGATTATACTGATAAAAAAAAAGAAATGGAAACTGAAGTCCTGAGCATTTGTGTTAAAAATGTGGTGTAAGCTTTAAAATTACACAGGTATTTTTGAACAATTCCATCTTCACGTATATGTAGTAGTACAGCTAAGGGCAAGCAGCCTCCTACTTCCAGAGCAGACACATTTACACAAGAGTAAAGGTGCTCTGTGCTTTTACAGCAAAGGAAAAAATGAAAATTATATTGACAGAAGTTAGCTTTTTCATGACAAGCTGCATCTAAAGCAGACATTGTACTGGTACAGGTAGTTCTATTTCATCCCTTGTGGAGTTACTGGCCAAAGATCTGTGGTCAGAACCGAAGTGACTCTTTTTGCCTTTGTTTTTTTTTACAGTTGTTTTTACACTAACTCTAGTTAGTCAAAGGGCTGTCGGAGTGTGGAAATTTCAAATGCATCCTGAAATCCAATTAGGTGAGGTGGAGTAGACCTGTGTGTGTAGAGATTGGATATAAAGTCTTTTTACCAACATACAGTCTCTTAAACATATGTAGAGTGAAGCATCATCCTGATAACCCACTCAAAAAAAGGAAGACGTATATCTCTCCCCTGTAGGGCCTGTGTCCACAAAGCAGCTGTAGGTCATAAGAAAACTGTACTCAGTTTTAAGAATACACAGAAGGGCCAAATTGGGTGATAAATGTCTTTGAATAGCTATGTGTCATGGTTTTCAGTGGGATAGAATTAATTTTCGTTGTAGACACTCACATGATGCTGTGTTTTGGATTGGAGGGGACACAGCCAGGACAGCTGACCCAGGCTGGCCAGAGGGATGTCCCACACCATGTGCCATCATGCTCAACAATAAAACCTGGGGTAAAGGAGGAGGAAGAGGGGTATGTTCCGGGTGATGGTGTTTGTCTTCCCAAGAAGCCATATGTGTGACAAGCCCTGCTGTCCTGGAGGTGGCTGACACCTGCCTGCTGATGGGAAATAGTGAGTGGATTCCTTGTTTTGCCGTGCTTGCATGCTGAATTTGTCATGCACAAAAATAGCAATATCCCCCTTAGGGAGGTATATAGAAGCATCCTTTTTAATATAATGTAACTAGTAATCATTTTGAAATGTCTGCCTTTGCCACTCAGATCTTCAGAGGTTGCTGGTTATTTTGGGGTATCATATTTTATGTGTACCATACAGTAGACACCCAAAAGAAACTCAAGGATGAGGCTTCAGAAGAAACTCATGCAACATTGTAGAAGAATCTGTTCTGTGCAAGTACCTCTCAAAAACACACTGTCAAATGAAGGCAAGTGAGATGACTAGGGATTTTGAAGGATTTGCCCCACGTAGACAGGCATGTGCTTCTGAGCATGCATTGGCAAGTATTACTTCTGAGTTGCTGAAGCACTAAGCTCCATGGCTTGCAAACAGAAGTGTTTAGTGATGCTGCTGTCCTTGGCATTTTCCTGCCTGGCAGTCATGACAGGGAGTAGTTTCACACTGTGAGGGTTTTCTGAGGGTTGCCTCCGGCCCACAGTACAAGGTTGCCATGCCTGGGGAAAGAACATGCACGATTATCCTGCCATTATTTGATTAGCCTGCAGTTGTTCTATGCTGCTGAAGTATCTTGAAAAGCTGCACAGTAACTCAAGTCACTGATGCTGTGTCAAGATAATATGGGCTACATTGAAAAGTTGCTATCATTGTGGCTTCAAGCAGCAGTGCTTTTTTTCTGCCAGGTGCATGTTTGCAAAATTAAAAAAAAAAAAATGTTAAGTAAGAGATGCTGATCTAAGAAAGAAGGTCAAACCACTTTCATCCTTTCCTATTGTCTCCCTTTGTTTCCACAGAATATTGGCATGATACAACATTTGTGACGGACTTTCTCCACAAATAACAAATATGTGGCTGCAGATATTACGTCTCTTAACCTTGTCTGTTCTTGTACCTGAGAGTCGCCACAACAGATCAGTTGTTGCATAGGAACGGCTGCTGACATCCAACCCATTTTCTTCACCCTAGTTACACGATCACTATCGCCCCAGAAGGGACTTATCTGGTTCACTTGCTGGCGTAGCCGCTTAAAGATTGAAGTCATTAATGCGTTGTGCCTCTGTCCTCTGCTACGCATTTGGGGGAAAGGCCCATCCTTGCTGTGCCAGTCTGGAGTAAAACTGTGCAGAAGATACAGGCATGCGGGAATGAAAAGCCCCTGTGGGAATGAAAAGCCACTGTATTCTTAGAAATGGATGGTCTCTGGAAGTGGTGAATGTCAGCGGTCAGTCATCTCAGCCCACTTCATATGCCAGACGTGGGAGGATACACCCACACTTGTTAGCTGCTATATAGGAATAGGCTAATTTAGCATCACTTGACTGCTTTCTTTTAAACACTATGAACACTGTGCTCTTTCTTTTTTTTTTTTCCTTTTTTTTTTTTTTTTTTTTTTCTCGGAGGGGAATGCCAGACTTGACTAACAAAGACAAGAACAGACTAAATGTTTCCTTAACAGGAAGCCACTAGCTCTCCGCTTTGCAAGTGGGGAGGGAAAGCCTTTAAAATGCTTCGAACTTTCTTAAGCAAATTTCAGTTAAACACAAGTAAAACTTTTGGGAGAACATCCCTAGGAAAACCTATTCCATTGGAAACTGAGACCCTCAGTTGCTTCCCAAATGCGAATGTGGTCTCTCAGTAATTATAAATGCACAGTACACAAAACTGTGCAGCACCACACAAAAATATAAGGGGGAGGAGGGAGGGAGAAGGAGGAAGATTTCATGTTTCCCAAGAATTTGAGGTGTTGTTCCACAGTTTTCATCTGGTCTGATTTTGGCTTCATCATTTCTAAGAAAAGCACTAGAAGAGCTTTGAAGCAAAGTCAGGGCATTAAAAGGCAAAGTATCACACTCCCACTACAGGAACATGACAATTTCTCAGCTGAAGGCATTTATTACAGCTGTAGCCAGAAAACTAATATTTGATTGGCTGCTCTAAATATCTACATATATAAACACCATTATAAAATTTACCAAGGAAAATTCAAGGATATTTTCTAACTGCTTGTCTTTCTCACATACACTAGGAAGACCAGTTCTATCTTCACATTTTTCTGTCTTGGACTTGGGACCTGTTTGTCTCCTTTCTTTGTGATCTTGGTTGTGCTAGTCACATCACGTAAAGATAAGCACATGTGAAGGGGCTGAGGCCTTAGTCAGTGGCAAGATATAATCAGAGGGTAAAAGAGAATAAGTGATAAGTGAGAGATGGGCCATTGTTTGCAGATAGTGTTCTCCTGCCCTCATGTTAAAAAGAAGTCTTAACAGATGGGGAGCACTTCAGGTGAATTAAGAGGCACTGCAGCTTGTGTAATGGTTTTCCTAGAAAAATGAGTGTCAGTACCAAGCTCTCTTTCCTGGACCGCTGCCTGTCTCTCAATGAGAGGCACAGAAAATGGTTCAGATGGCTTCCACTGGACTTGGTGGGACAGCTTGCAAAGGGACAAGTGTCTCGGTGTGTGTGTCAGGTTGTCTTAAATCTGCACTGGCTGGCACATACAGCCCAAGCTGAAGATTGTGTCTGGCCTGGTGGCTGTCAGAGACCAGCCTGGGGCTGTGCTTTTACACAGGACAGCATCTGGTGGTCCTAAGGAGGTGACACCACAGCTGAGGATCAGGACAGCAGAGCTGTGTAGGCATGTGCCTTCCCTTCACCTCCTTAGTGTGAGAGACCTGGGCTGTGGTCTTGGTTCTGCTGTGGCATCTCTCTAACTCAGTTTCCTCCTCTGTCGAATGAAAATAAAGAAGCTGCTCTCCTCTGTCGACCCTCCCGAGCGCTGCGGATGACAGCGGTACGCAAGGAAGAGGAATTGTCAGGCAGCTTGAGGGCAGCACACAGCTCTGGCACGCCACGATCGGCAGCGTGCTGGGTGCAGTGTTGTGCCGTGTTGTGTTACCATGCGCTGGGGCGAGGATCAAGCTGCGTAGATGCAGTGACAGCTGTAGTCCTGCTCAGATAAGGAGAGAAATGGCCCGAGTTGCCTTGGCAACACTCGCTTTGCTTATCTTCTTGAGTAAACGGCAACTTTTATCCATGCAGCTGACATCTGAGAAAAGTGACCATTGCCTGCAGAATGGAAAATGCTTTGGGGCACGCTGGAGAATTTTTTTTTCCCCAGTAATTAAGCACAACACTTGTTACTGAGAAATAACCCTTGCCAAATCTACTGTCTGTAGCTGTCTCTAGCTGTCTAGATGGCCTCAGGTCACCATAGGGCCACACACCAGCAGATAAACTGCTTGGGGCCTGCTGAGGGGTGGGAGATGGCGAAGGAAGTTCCCGGGGCCCGCAGATGGTAACATGGCAGCAGCGGAAGCAATGATTCAGGGGGCAGAACTATTTTCTCTGAGTCATTGCCGATCCTTTACCTCTGCATCATGTTAGAAAAAAAAAATTCCTTGCTGCATAGTTACCATTTTTCTCATCATATTTAAAACTGAGGTTTTGGCCCCTTTTTAGCATCAGTGGAGGCTACAGCACTCTCTGCAGTAGCTGTTGCTGTGAGATTTTATTGGGTCTGTGGGATTTTATTGGGAAACAAGGTAAGAAGCCCAGCACTGAGAATCTGTCTGCCTGACCCCTGCCCAGAGGCAGGACCCATCGCACCTCAGTTGTTCCTCACTGATGCCCATGTTCCCTGTTCTTAAACACCCACAATGGTAAAGGTTTCTCACTCTTGGTGAGCATTACCAGTGTCTCCTTAGATTTACCAGCTGGAGGTGTTTCTTCATGTTTAACCTGTAGCTCCTTAACACGTGCAGTTGGAGCCAAGTAGCGCTAGCATCAGCATCAGTTTGCCCCAGGCACTTCCAGTTTTTAGGAAGGAAGTGAAGGATTCTCCTTCCCGTTAAGGAAATGTGTGGAAATTATGTATTTATAATGCAAATCTATACCTTCAGACTTAGCTCTCTGTCTTTATAGTGAAAAGCCAGCCTAGAAAAAGCACCGGAGCGGGCAGGATGTTCAGGTTTCCCTGTGAGCCTGCTCTGCAGTTACAAGCAGTGGCAGCACCAAGCCCTGGCTCACGCCGTCACTGCTGCTGTCTTTCACATTTCACGTGGCTGCAGTGAAGCTAGAGGCCGCCGTGATGGACACTGCTCAGGGCATTACGTAGGTGACTGAGTCACCATGAGGGTGGTGGCAGGGCCGCGACCCCATTCGGTGACCTTGACCTCATCCACCCATCCCTGAACACTCCTGCCGTCATGCCCCGGGTGACGAGCACCACAGAAGTCTGGCATGTTTCAGACTTTGACTGCATGCCAAACAGCCAAAAGAGCAATTCCTGACTGACGTCAGCTGGTTTCACTCCAGCTGTGTGGTGATATCCAAGCACACTCCACAGCGCATGGGCTCGGTGATCACCATGTAGTGGTAGCACCAGACAGAGTTTAGGGCACAGCCGAGGCAGAACAGTGGTTTAACAGAACCTGGGAAGTCACATTTGTGCCACAGTGATGTCAGCAAAATATTTTAGGCCTGAGCTTGCCACAGAAACAAGCATGAATGAGGTTAGTGTCTCTTTTGAAAGCCTCCAAAGAACTTCAGATCAGGTCCCATATACCTTCTTGTCCTATAGACTTATCCTTTGTTTCACCTCATCAGCCGCATACTTAAGCAAAGAGATGGATCCTTTGTAAATCAGAGATGCTTGACTGAAGTCAATAGCACAGTGGTGTCATTTTATTAACAGCATATGGGTTCTGAACCCAAATGGAAAATGAATTTATTACCTGCCTGGATATAAATTTGTGGTGCAGGTCCTCACTTTCCCACACTGTCCCGTCCTGCTAGAGGTACCGCCAGATTGGTTTGGCTCATTTCAGAGTGGATATGCCATCAGCTTTTGCTTCTATAGATGGTACTCTGCAGCCACTGCCCGCATAACAATTCCCTTAGTTACTTTCTCTTTCCAGGATGGCAACCTTACCTTCTCCTTACCTAGCAAAATTGTCCTCAAGTGCCAACTTTGAATATATATGTCTCTATATCCATTTATCTATTCATTCATTCTTATATCTCTGTGTAATCTATCAAGAATTCAGCATTAGTCAAACTCTTTTTTTTTTTCCCCAGTTATTTTTTCCTAATGGGGAAAGAAAGGAAACAAACCCATATGAATTAGTCATACTGCATATATAGCAATACCCCTTAATATATCTCGATCTCGTGTATAAAGAATGTAGCAATTTCACAAGAATCAGCTGGCACTTTACTGAAAGTGATTTTTAGTTTATATGACCAGGGAAAGCCACTGTTGCTTTTCATTTCCCAACAACAACCATTTTATCTTGAAACTGATATTTTGTAATATCTGAAATGAAGACAGTTTTTACCAGAGCATCCTGGTGGCTTTACCGCTTTACCATAAGACCAGCAACACTGGGCAGATGAAAGTGGGTCATTTCCACTCAGAAAAGTCATCAATGTTGTTGCAAAAGTGGCTGCTGATTACAGCTGGACAAATAATTGAACAGTTGCTCCATGTCTGAGGTTTGCTTATTGCTACTTTACACTGACTTTCTACCTTTTCTACCCTTTTGACAGCTGCTGACTTGCAACCATTTGCTGCATAGCTCTGTCTCTAGCATATAAGAGCCCTTTAAGGGCATGTACTTCTGCTTATTTAGGTGTCAGTTCTAAACAGGAAACAGATTTTTCTCTTTTTTTGGTTATAACACTCTTAAACTGGCAAACGTGTGTGTGATTTAGGTGGTTGCCAGCCACACCAGAGGTCTCGTTTCACTTGCGGCAGCTGATGCCAAGGGCTGATCTCATTTTCTTTGTTTTTATAGGAGTGCAACTCCGCTGACGTCGTTTGGCTTCCTGCTCGGGGAGGCTGTACGCGGAGTCCTCCGGGTTAGAAATAATCGGCAGCCCGTTAGCCTTCACCCTCTGCCTCTCACTTGGTTTCATCAGCCCGTCGCGCATGTGCATGACGTTTGGTCATGGCCATAGTGTGAAGCGCCTGTGGGAAGGGAATGTCCCCTCTGCAGCCGTTTCGGTCACAGCCGGGTGGCTGAGGTGGGTGTACGGAGGAGGGAGAGGGAGCAAGTTTCAGGCACGCCGCTACCGTGAAGTACCTGTCGTGGGTGTTGTTTCCGCCCACAGAATCGCCATCAGACCTTCAGGTTTCAAGTGGGTTGAGTCCTGCCGGGTCATAAGCATGTCACAAAAATAAACGCAGGCCTCTGGAGTGGAGAGGTTACCAATGAGGGGGTGGTAGCACGGCTAAATAAGATCATTCCTCTTTTGGGGAAATACAGAGCGTATAATCAACTGTTCCTATTTCCAGGCAGAAAGGCTTTGGCTCCCTTGTTGCGTTGGAGTTGGTGCTGTGTTGCATGCGTAGGACAGCCACACCAAGGAAAGGTCATGCCCACACATGCTGTTTTCTGGTACAAGACCAGAATAATAACCATGGGCTAGTGAGGAATTTTTCTGAGAATGGCTGAGAGCAGAATCAAGGGGCATGCCTGTCCATCCTTTTATTTTTGAGGTATTATTTAGGGAGGTGGTTTCATGTGTTATTCAGAGCAAACCAGGGCAGACAGTCCTTCTCCTTGTGTTCCAGGTCTGTCCTCCTCTGAACCCTGCTTTAGTAATAAACTCATTTAACATTCCCCAAAACAGACACCTCACGGTATTTTCAGTTAAGCTAAGGACTGCACTGCCTGAAGCATTCTGCTGTGTATAAGATGTAGTGCTGTGTATAACTAAGTAGTGCTGTGTTTTGTCAATGGAAGTGAGAGAAACAAATATATCTTTCATTCTTCTCCAAAAACATAATTCTTATTGCAAACGCAAGGTGGTCTATTGTTGCAAGTACATTAAAATTGCTAAGCTATACTGCAAATATAATTGTCCTATACTGTGACTGCTTGCAGTGCTGGTTTAAAGAGAACATTTCATTTTTTCAGTTGTTTTGAGACTTGTAGAACAACTAAAGAAAGTAGGAAGCCTTCAATCCAGTGCAAATGTAAGGAATTGCAACTCTGTCTTAATGTCCCTACATGGTTCAGCTCAGAGCTGAGACATCTTTGGGGGAACCTCACAGCAGCCCCCAGCACCTATGGAGTGGTCAGCCAAAAGACAGTGCCAGGAGTTTTACAGCAGTACATGGTGGGAACATGAGAGACAAGGGTCAGAAACTGAATCCAGAGGTTCCAGCTGGATATAAGGAGACAATTCTCCATGAAGACAGTCAGGCACTGGATCAGGCTGCCCAGCAAGGCTGTGCAGTCTCTGTCCTTGGAGATTTTCAAGACTGACTGGACACAGCCCTGAGCGACCTGGTCTGAGCTCACAGGTAAGCCTGCTGTGAGCAGGAGGTTGGAGTAGAGACCTCTTGACATCCTGACACCCCGTGATCCTATGTCTAGGATTTAGCTGGTGTAAGGGTATGTAAAAGGAGAGTGTCTGCTCCTTTTAAGGGTCTTTTACAAGGCAACAAAGGATAATAAGAAATGGACGAAGTGATGGGAGCCAAGTCTGGTCAGTCACATTAATTTATGAGCATGTGAGACTGTAGGAATGCTTACTCCAGCAGGGCTAAATGGTTTGTTTAACGCATGTTTAGAGGGCCTGGATGACAGAGGAGGCTGGAGGTTTGTTACACAAACATCTCTGTGCAGTGGCAGTGGGCAGGGAGACTGCTGCCGTGTATAAGAAGAAGCAGCTGGAGAAAGGAAAGGCACTGTTACACCCTAACCACACAATGATCACCCACAAGGCAGCAGTTGGAGGGAGGGAATGCTGGGCAGAGGGGATGGTGCGGCCCCTGCTCCTGGGGAGCTGCAAGGGTCGACAAGGTGGGAGTGCCCAGGTCCCATGGGCAGAGAGAGGTCTCTGGCTCTGCCAAGCAAGACATGTCCAGCAGGATACCCCTGGTAAAGGAGACAAGGCAGAACACAAGACTAGCCAGAATTTGAGAGTTTTAACATCACCAGAATACAAAATGATTATTGTACCACAGCGTTAAAATAATTACATTTATTTGGAGAATTTCAGTTCCCAGCCTGAGCTCATTTGGGTACAAATCATTA